TTCGTATTTCTTGTCTTCTTGTAATTCTTTAATTTTTATGAATGGAAGATGCTTGCAACCGTTAAGTTTGGTCAAAATATTGCTCATCTTGATATTTTTATTGAGTTGTTGTTTAACTAAAGATCATCAAGAAGTAAACAAGCTTTATATACCTACTATCTTACCCCTTCTCCCAAAAACACATTTTATTTTGCACAATAAATTGCAAGAGTACATAGACCTTATGCATTTTATAATTAAATTTTATTTATTATATCCATTTTAAGGATTTGCCGATTTTGTTTCTAACATCTCTATACGTTTCTCCAAATTATTAAACATATTTATATAAGAAGCATTATTAGACTCCGATTGTTTTTGGAAATATTTAATAGCTTTAAGAAATTCTTCCAGTTGAATTCTAAAATCATCAAATGTTGCATTAAAAGATACATTATTAATTTTAGTATGTATTATTTGTTGATCCAATATCTTTTCGTTTCTTTTTACAATATTTTCATATACATCAAGTTTTTTTTGTAAATTTTCAATTCGTTGTATATTATCCAATATATTTTTAGTTGTTTTTTCTAAAACATCATTTATTATTTTATCTTGCACAGTTTTAAATTGATTTAAGTTCTTTTTAACATTATCATTAGTTTTATTTGATAATTCCTTAAAATCTTTTTGTATTTTAGTTACGTTACTTTTTAAGTCTTTCTCTAATTTTACTATTTGTTGTTTTACTGATTTAAAATTAGTGTCTGCTGCTTTAATGTTTTTGTTATTAATATTAGATTGATTTTTTAAATTTTCAATACTTTTTTTAATATTTAAATTTTCTTTGTCTGTAGTATCTATTACAGATTGTAAGGAATTACTAACATCTTTATGATATGATTTGAAATAATTGTCAACAAATATTCTATTCACAGCATCATTATCTTGTTCAGGTAATTTCACATTAGTAAGTTTAAAATTTTGAAAATCTATATCTTCATTAATTAAAAATTTATCAGTATTTTTTTTAACATTAAAATAAGTTTGATGTCCGAATTTGTCGAGACTCATTTTAAATATAACAAAACTTAGCTAAAACATACATATTTAAGTAAGAAATTTAATCCCAAATCAAATATTTTAAAAAAAATTAAAGGCGTTGTTGATGTGTGTCTTCAATTTAAAATATTTAATTAATAACCCAGATATTGCCAACAGTTAATTGAACCTTATTCGTCTCTCAATATAAGCTTGTTTAATCATTAAAGATTTAATTAAAATCATATGCAAGCAATGTGTTTAAAAGAATGTAAAGGCGTCTATAATAAAATCGAACCCGATCTCTTAATAAAGATGACCCCTATGAATAACACAGACCATGATCCCAAATTAAGGCTCCCTTATTTAACGCGTCTAATAAAAACCATTAACAATACTTTTTATTAAATGTGTGTGTGTGTTTGGGTGTGTATAAAAAAATATGCAGGTATGGGACCCTTCCTTTTTTCCCCTTTTTAAATGTGTGTGAAAAAATATCTAAGCGTCGAAAATTATAATAGTTTAAACCGTTTTATTTAATAGTTTTTGACTTTTTTTAAAGTACAAAAAGCTAGTCAATTATTTTATTGTTTTATTTATTTATTTCGCACGTTTTGTTTCTTTTATTAATTATGATATGAACGTATATATTATATATAATACAAATTGATTTTCTACGCTTTTTATGTTACACACACGCACATATTGTTATTGTTAAATTATTATAACTATAATTGTTACTTAAAATTATTTTATTTGTTTATTCATCAATTTGAAAATTTAAAATTTGTTCTATCCATAATAATAATTTATACCATCAATCTGTCTGAGCGAAAACTTTCTATATATTTAATACATACAATATTTATATATATATATATATATATATATATATATATATATTTAATAGTAAAAATATTCAATACAACTTTAGAAAAGCAAATTTCCCCATTTTATATAATAGCATCTTAGGCATCAATTGGACTTTTATTGAAGATATTTCAAATGTAGATTTAGCTTGTGATGACACAAAAAATATAAACGCACTAAAAGATTAATATACCTAGAACTTTTTAAAAATACAAGAACTATGCTAAAGAAACAAATATCCTACTCTTATAAACATTATATATTTGAAACTGAGAATAATATAAATCATAATCCCAATCAATTTTGGTCTTTTATCCAGTCTAAGAAAGGAGTATCTAGAATTCCAAACAATGTTTATTATAATAATACTTATTATGATAAACCATTAGATATAGTAAATAAATATTGTGAATATTTTTCTAATGTATACAAAAAATCCAACATAAATTACTTTGATAAAGGTGTGCCATCCCACTACAATATATCCATAGATCCCATTACCGAGGCTGATATATTGTCCGCTTCAAAAAAATTAAACAATAAATTTACAAGTGGAATTGACAATATACCAAGCTTTTTGGTTAAGGACTGTGCTATGGCACTTGCAAAGCCTTTAGTATTTTTATTTAACCTCATAATTTCCAGTAAGCAATTTCCCAAAACATGGAAAATATCCAAGATTATTCCAGTTTTAAAGTCAGGAGACCCGTCAAATATTGCTAATTATAGGCCAATATCTATTCTTTGTAATTTTTCCAAGTTATTTGAGTCAATAATATATAAAAAAATCTATTATAAAATTAAAAATATAATATCCATAAATCAACATGGGTTTGTTAAAAAGCGTTCAACAGTTACAAACTTGGCAGTATTTACTCAGTTTGCAAGTGATGTATTAGATAGTCATGGCCAACGTGACGTGATCTACACTGACTTTCGAAAGGCTTTTGACCAGATAGATCATTATGTTCTATTAACAAAATTAGCTTCATTTGGGTTTAGTGATGATTTAGTTAGTGTTTTTAGTTCCTATTTAATTAACAGAAGTCAATTTGTTTTTTATAACGGGTTTGGCTCACAGTTTTTTGTTCCAACATCAGGGGTGCCGCAGGGCTCCAACTTGGGGCCCCTTTTATTTCTTATATTTATAAATGATCTTCCTGAATGCATAAAATCTAAAAACCTTATGTTTGCTGACGACTTAAAAATTTTTGGTAAAAAAAATTCGACAAAGGATTGTTATGATTTACAAAATGATTTAGAAAGTATTTCGCGTTGGTGTACAAAAAACTGTCTACATCTAAATACAGATAAATGTAAAACAATGACATTTTCCAAAAAGAAAAATATTATTACTTTTGAATATGGCATTGACAATTGCAAATTGGTAAGAGTTTCGGCTTTTAAGGATTTAGGTGTGGAGTTTAATCCAGGGTTAAGTTTTACTGCACATATAGAAAAAACTATAAACTCTTCATTTAGATCCTTAGGCTTTCTGATTCGAAACACGAGAACTTTTAAAAATGAAAGAACTTTTAAGACACTCTATTTTGCATTTGTTAGGTCTAAATTGGAATATGCCTCATTAATCTGGAGCCCGATTTATGAAGCACATAAAATGGGCTTAGAAACAGTGCAGCGCAAATTTCTCAAGCTGCTTCACTTTAAAATATACGGAAACTATCCTGTCCAAGGGTTTGATCATGCGCTGCTTTTAGCAATATTTAATGTTAATTCTTTAGATTTAAGAAGAATTATTATCTCGGTAACTTTTTTGTACAATATTGTCCATGCCAATGTCGATTGTACAATCTTATTGGATAGGTTAAATTTTAATATACCTCGTAAAAACTCTAGAAATCAAATAACCTTTAGGAATCATAGAGCTAATACCAATATTCGAAAAAAATCACCGATTTACTATATGTGTCAAAATTTTAACATGATTTCAGTAAACTGTGATATTAATTTTAATACTTTAAGTTTCATTATACAATCTGTTCTTGAATGTTGCTCTTCATAATCCGTACTGTACCTGATATATACTGTATTTTTTACCTATTTTTTAATTAATTTTAGCCAAAGTTTTTGTATATACCTTAATTGTTTTTTATTATTATTATTATTATTATTATTATTATATATATATATATATATATATATATATATATATATATATATACATCCCTGTTGCCAAATTGTAATGACGCAATATTGTACTAAGGATGTATATTTATGTATATGTATATATATATATATATAGACGTATATTCGCTCTTATACAGGCCCGCACAAGATAACATTAATACGGTTTAAAGCCCAAAGCGACGTTATAAAACCCGGCTTTGGGCTTTACAACGGAGCCCGAGTATATAGTAGCCATTCGATTCTCCTTTCTTTCTGCACCCTCTTGTTAAAATTTTTGATGGGCCTCAAAAAGTACTATTTATGCATTTATTTATACAAAAAGTTTGGAGAATTTCACTGTAGGGGGCGCTTCTGAGTATATATTTATACATTTATATTAACGTATTGTTATCAGCCCCTAAACTTGGCAACACTGCTGGGCCCGACAACGCGCGTACAATATATTTTTATAAATATACGGCGGCTTTAGAAATTAATTATAAAAGCACTATATGTTAGAGGATATTTTATTGTAGCAGTTTACTGATCTATAAATTGCTGTTGCAGTCCAAAGCGACATACAATTTTTAAAACCGCGGAACTACACCTTTTTTTTAATTTTTTGGGTTTCCTGTAAATATGTATTATTATTTAATAATAATAATAATAATAATAATATTAATAATAATAATATTATTATTATTAAACACGGCAACAGTGTAAACTTACCTGTAGTATTTCTCTTAAATTTATTTAAAATATTTTAACAAAGTTCGGTTTTAAAAAGACATTACTGGGTGTATGTGTGACTGCAGACAGGGATCGGCTACTGTAGACATTGTAGTTCACGCGTATTGGGCCTTTCCAGTGCCAGTGTGACACCAATCCTGAAATTTCAGGTTAAATAACCTTCAAAACAAATCAACGTTATTTCTTACGAGCGCGACCACAGTGTTGCCGTTGTTCTCAATATCTCCCAGAAAATGCCGCCAAAAATTGTGCCGTGCCAAAGTTGCACACAACTCACCGATATCATCAATGATCTAAAAACTACTATCGCTCAACTAAAGGAGGAGGTTGCCTCCCTAAAAAACTCGATTAATGAATCCAATGAATCCAATAATGAATCTCAGCTCATCAACAAAATTGTTAATGAAGTTCTCGAACGTGAAAAGAGAAAAACTAATGTTATAGTATACAATGTTAAGGAATCTAAAATTTCCAGCAAAACTGAAAGAGATCTCGAGGAAAAAGCTACTTTTGCTGGGATTTGTAATGAAATCTCTTTGGATGCCAGCCTCATAACAAACATAACAAGGCTTGGAAAGTTTGCAACAACTGCAGATCGACCTCGTCCACTCAAGATCACTTTTAATAGAGAGGCTTGTGTCCATGAAGCTATTCGCAAAGCCAAACTGCTGAAGGACTCCACAAGTGACAACAAAAACATTCACTTTGCATTTGATAGAACACCTCTACAGGTCGATGAATACAAGAAGCTTAAAACGGAAATGGACAACAGAACAAAGAGTGGAGAAACTAATCTTTTTATTAAGTATGAGAAGGGAGTTCCAAAAATTAAGTCTTTAAACTAATGCTGCCCAACGATACAGAACCATACAGCCTTAGTATTTTTTACCAGAATGTGCGTGGCCTAAGGACAAAAGCTGGTGACTTCTTCCCTTCAGTTAGTGAGTATTGGTATGACCTAGTTCTTTTAACTGAGACTTGGTTATCTAGTGATATTAACAGTAATGAGTTTTTTCCTAATACCTACAATGTGTTCAGATGTGATAGGGATTTTGAAGCAATGGGTGTTATGCGTGGAGGAGGCGTTTGTTCTGCCTACAAGCAACCTCTACGCGTTTCCCCCATAGACTTAGCGAATATACGTGACCAACTGCATAATGTAGATATTGTTTGTTGCAAAATGTACCTCCAAGGTCTCACCTTATTTGTATATAATGTATATGTTCCTCCTGACATTTCTGTTCATAATCTTGAATTATTTCTTGATCTTTTGTCGCAGCACTTGTTAAATATCCGCTTTTCTCTTATTGTTGGCGATTTTAATATTACTCATTTTACTAATAATACAAGTAACGACCGAAAATGTCAGTTAATGAACAACTTCCTTGACCAAAACGGCCTGGTTCAGTTTAATAATGTACTTAATTATAACGCAAGAACACTTGACTTAGTTTGCAGTAATCTGGACCTGGTTGACGTTTCTCGTATTGACCCTTTAACGAATGAAGACGCACATCATCCATCTCTTTCTATCACAATCACTTGGAAGTCCAATAAGCCAGCTAACTTCCCTATAAATACAATATCTCAAAAACAATATAACTTTCGCAAAGCTAATTTTCCCGCACTTTATCAAACATTGCTTAGCACAGATTGGAACTTTCTTGGTATGGCAACTGATGTTAATTTAGCTTGTTCTCTCTTTTATGAAAAATTGTACTCCATTCTCGACATGTTTGTTCCTAAGTATATTCCAAAACCAAAGCAGTATCCAACGTGGTATACATTAACAATTATTAACACTTTGAAATTAAAAGAATACCTATTTAAAAAACAAAAAAGGAGTCCAACCCTGTTTAACATTAACAAATTTAAAGAAATTCGAACAATTTTAAAAGCTCAAATCCGCAATGCTTATTCTAATTATTTAGTTAAAATTGAAAATTCTATCCTAAATGACCCGAAAAACTTCTGGACTCATTTTAGAAATAAAAAAGGTACAACTAGAATTCCAGGAATAGTTCATCTTAACGAAGACACTTACGATACTCCTGAAACCATTGTTAATGGCTTTGCTACCTATTTTAGTAGCGTTTATGTAGACAATATAGCAGTTATAACAAATAATTTAAATGATCGTTGCACTTCATGTTTTTCCATTGCCAGTTTGGAAATAGAGGACATACTAAAGAGTATTGACAAATTAAATAATAAACCCACAGCAGGCAATGATTCTATACCCAGCTTCATTGTTAAAGACTGCAAATATGTTTTGGCCGAGCCTCTTAGGTATATCTTTAACCTATCCTTAAAAACCTGCGTTTTCCCTGACGTCTGGAAAATAGCACATGTCTGTCCTATCTTAAAGACTGGAGATGCATCTAATGTTACAAACTATAGACCGATCTCAATTTTAAATAACTTTTCAAAAGTTTTCGAGATGGTCCTATACAAAATAATATATGCAAATATTAAAGCCATGATTTCTCCATCTCAGCATGGCTTCACCGAGAAAAGGTCAACAGTTACGAATCTGGCATGTTTTTCTGACTTTGTTTCACGCAATTTGGATAGTAATAAACAGATTGATGTTATATATACTGACTTTGCAAAGGCGTTTGACCGCATTGATCATAGTATTATTGTTAAAAAACTAAACAATTTTGGTTTTAGTTATTCATTGATATCACTTTTGACCTCTTACCTACTCCAACGGAAACAGATGGTTGTTTACAATGGGTTTAAATCCTTTCCTTTTATAGCTTCTTCAGGAGTCCCGCAAGGCTCAAATCTAGGTCCTTTATTATTTACATTATTTATTAACGATTTATGTGAAATGCTTAACTGCAAAAAACTGTTGTTTGCAGATGATTTAAAGATATTCTTCTCCATTTCTACAATAAGGGACTGTATTTTACTTCAAGCTCAAATCAACAACTTGGCTTCTTGGTGCAGTAATAATAGGCTTTCTTTAAATATTAGCAAATGTAAGGTTATTTCTTTCTCCCGAAAGAAGAAAACCCTCGAATACCCTTATGAAATAAATTCCGTCCCCCTAGAGAGGAGACATACTATCAAAGACCTCGGTGTATGGTTTGACAGCAAGTTCACATTTCGCGAACATATCACTGCTACAACGAAAAGTGCATATCAATTATTGGGTTTTATCATTAGAAACTCTTCTTCTTTTCGTAATGTTGAAGTTTGTAAGTTTCTTTTTAGGTCATATGTTCTTTCAAAACTCGAATACTGCTCTTTAATATGGTACCCACTTTACAATGAACATACTAACACGGTTGAAATAATACAAAGAAAGTTTCTTAAGTTTGTTTATTTAAAGAGTCATGGTAACTATCCAATTAGAGGTTACGATTATTATGCTTTGTTAACTGAATTTGATTTTGTAAGTTTAAGGGATAGACGGTTTATTTACTCAATTAAATTTTTATTTAATCTACTTAGAAATAGAGTGGACTGTGCTGAATTATTATCTGCAATTAATTTTCATGTTCCCAGACTAAATTCTCGCCAAAAATTGGCATTTAGTACTGGTTTGGCAAAAACCAATGTTATGTTTATGTCTCCAACTTTTATAATGTGCAATAATTATAATAAAATACAGTCTATCTGTGATATTTATTTTGATTCTTTGGGTGACATCGTAACTAACATTATTAATAATTTTAGCTTAGAATAATTTATTTATTTTTATTGTAAACTTTGTTAAAGTAGGTTTTTTTATAATTATTTGTTAAGTTTGCACGATTTTATAATTTTGTCCTGTAATTGGATTTTGTAATCTGTTGGGCAAATAAATATATATTATTATTATTAATAATATATTTTTATATTTTATTTTTAATAAATTTGCGAGGTTGGCAGACGAGCTAAAATAAGTAATTACAATTATTTGTTCGTGGATTACAATTTTTAGTGTATTCCATTTATAACAGATTTTTATATTTGCATGGATCCCCTAGGGGCAAAGTGGTCGAAAAGAGGATAAAATAAAAAATATACATAATATATTACTAATACTATTATTCCCAACTGTTAGTAATGATTGTTATAAAGTTAGTAAAGTATTACAAAAGTTGTTCTGGTTTTACAAAAAAAGTGGCTAACTTTTATGCAATTAATAACCATGTATAGAGAACTGTTTAGTAAATAGTACTAAAAAATCAAAATGGCCTCAAGTAATTAATGGATGCCCCCTAATTAATTACCACGAGTACTATTTGCAACTACAAATAATATTTGCTATTACACACCTTAAAATATTCGACATATATTTTTAATTGCGAGTTGTATTTGGAGGACAATTTTATCGAACAAATGAATAAAAAATAATAAAAAAAATTGAAAAATATTTACCTGGTAGCACTAGTGCCATATTCGCTGCAATTTGTACTAGTCCAATTTTCTAAACAATTACTCTAGATAGGCCAAAAATTGTCAAATAAAGCTCAGAGCCCTTGGTTTACTTTTGGCAGATGACAGGTAAAAAATATTGCCCTACATAGTCCAAGCGATTATTGGAATTAAAAATATATTAATATATATTTTTTCACCATAATATTTACTTTTATCATACACAAATTTTTTATACACAGGAGTTGAGTGAAGGAGCAGTTATTAATCAATGATTCAGGCGTTTCAATTTTAAATATATTCAAATTTTGCACTACCCTAAAATAGGTGATAAATATTCGTTTTAAAGAAAAGAGACTAAAAATTGTTTTTTTCAGTAATGTGACACATTTTAAAAGTCTATATGCTCACAAAACCCCTGTTGGTTATTATTCTAAACAAGAACATTTTTAAAAATATTCGATTGTAGTTTAAAAAAAATACTGCCGGCCAATAAATATATTTTTCAAATTTATAGAAAACACCAAACCCCTTACCCCTTAAGGGGTAAACTTGATAATATCTATAATATAGATTCTACATGTCATTTTATGCATATGCACGGAGAGAACAGTTTTGGGAATGGTTACTAAACAGTTTAGTAATTTGGGGACAGATTTAATATTTTAGGAGTGGGCGCTTTTGGGTTTAGTAATAATTTTCATATATTTAGCATAAGTGTTGTTTGGCAACTATGCCTTTACTGAAAAATAGTAATTACAAAATGAAGAAAGATCTAAACTTAAGTTTAATAACTATACTATAATGATAGTTAACTATTTTGAATTTACCATTAAATATGCACAATTAAATAATAATAATTAATTTAACCGAATTAAACGATAACCAACAAAATGCAAAAGATAGCCGACCAGGGCCGGATTTACCGAACAGACAACGTAGGCAGCTGCCTAGAACGGAAAAAATTAGGGGTAACTAAATACTTTGGATGAATTTTGACAGAATTTTTTCTAAATTAGTATAGCATACAAAGTTCTTGATAAAAAATAACCAAGAATTTTTGCATGCATTGTTTGAATAAACACTTCGTGGCAAGTGTCTTCAATTAAAAAATTTCAAAATATAGAATGTTTAAGAATAAAATGATGATGAAGTGAAAAACTACTTGAGATAAAAATTTGTTGAAGAACGATTAAACGCACTCTCTCTTAGCTATAAAGTCAGATTGTCTCATGTCTTATTTCTATATTATAGACACGCCAAATTCCTAAATCCGAACCTGTAGCCGACTACATAGAAAAATAATATTGGGAATTTGCTTCCACACTTTTAGTATATTAATTAAATAAAAATTAATAATATATTTTGAAAAGTTTTAATATAACTTAAAACTATTATTGAAATGTATTCTAAATTAAAAAAGTAATAAATTAT